GGTTGGAACTAGATGGTCTTTACAGCCCCTTCCAACCTATATCATTCTACGATTTTGTGTTTCTATGTTTCAAAACAACATGATCTTTATTTTAATAACTTCTGCAGGGGGCATCAGTCATAACCAAGTTGCACACTGCTTCAGGAAACAATTGCACCTAAAAGAGCCTGAAAATGGTTTTTAGTTTTTAAACATAAGTTACAAAAAAATGTTTTAAATACATCTAGGTATACAGCTGTCAAAACTGTATTTGATGCCATGTTTGGCCACAAAATTCTTAAGTAACCAACGTAAGCCTGTGTATTCAATCTACTCTGTAGAATCCAGGATCATCTCCTCAATGCTGATACACAAATACCTCACTTGCATTCAAAAAAAAAAAAACTCTCACATGTTCACTGCTTCAAATCAACTGAATTTCCAAAGCAATGCTGAAGTTATTTGACACCTTCCATTACAACACATGATACAGAAATAATTAATCAAATAAAAAACACTGGCACACCAATGCAGCCACTCCAGTGTATGTACTGAAATCTGCAGTGAATCTGTGTCAAGACAATGTAAAAAGTCCCACCAACAAAAAAAAAAAAAGTCTTCACTCCCCAAATATCACTCCCCAAATTCAAATCCTGAATACTCCCAAATACTTATCCTGAACAATTTTTATAGAACAGAGGAAGCAAAGCAAATACTACTTCCATGCAGAAACTAAAAAAATAATTTACTACGATTCAAGTAGCAAAGGTTTGAGTGAATCTCACCTTCATCACCAGGGTAAGCCCTGCTTGAAAATGTTTGAGCTCAACTGTTCAAATAGCAAGTGATTCAATTTAGCCCAGCTTACTTTCTGCTCCATCATATAAAAAAAATCCCCATATATTTTACTGTAGAATACAGGAGCAAAAAGTAAAACCGAAAAAATGACTAAACTTGAGCACTTATCCAAGAGCAGTTTCTAACATCAAACTACAATTAGCAACAGCCAAGCAGACATCACCAATTTCAGTGTTAAATTACTGTAAATACTAGATCTAACTGTACAAAAAATATCCCAAACCTAAAAATCAAAAGCTTTTCTTTTCTGTTTAAAGTTGTCCAAAGAAATATCCACCATTTGCAGTCTAATTTGCATCAGAAGCTGCTTGCTCAGGAGACACTGCTCCCCAGCATTTTTAAGACATTGCATTGCCAAGATTCTATTCAAATAAATTACTTTCAGATAACATTTAGCTGATACAACCACCTACAATGTGGACTGTCATGGTCACAGTACAACAGTGGATTTTTGCAGCAGAGAAATAATCAGAAATTGGTTCTAAATTCAAGATGATAGCTCATGTGTTATTTCTTGCAAACATACGGTCCCCTCTAAGGGTAAGGTGTTGGAGCTGGTATTGTAGCACTTCTGTGTCAGCAGGTTCCTTAATGCTCATTTTGTCTAAATTGAGGTAGTCCAGCGATTTCGAATGAGCTGTTTTGCCTTTAAAAAGGCAAAGAGGCAGGGGACCATGAAGTGCCTTGTAAGGTTCATACGATAAAGCCTTAGTGCATTTATCCCCTGAGCTGGGCATCCGCCTCCTCCTCCTTCCATTTACTGCGGGAATCTCATATGGCTGATAGTACCTACTTCTAGTTTTGTACAAACGGGAGGAGCGTGCAAGTCCTGAATCAAGCTGTTTGGAGTGCAAATTTGTCCCAGAATCCCCCTTATTCTCTTCGCTTCCTGTACACTTCTGGGCTAGTTTCAGCAACTCCTCTCCAGTCGTGAAGCCAACCAGGTAGTTAGAATCCATGTGAAGGATCTGGTATCCTGCAACCGTCCGTCGCATTGGTGAGCAGGGGGTACTGGAACTGCGAGGTTTCTCTGCTTCCATCCTGCCCGCAGCACTCACCTCTGCAAGAGGCACGGGGAGCGTGGAGAGGGTAGTTCTGGACTCTCCATTTACGTCAACTTCCATTTTAAACACAGTGCTATCCTCCTGAAAATAAAACAGAGCTTCGTCAGAAATAGAGCCTCTATGCAACATGAGGAGTCCGGGGAGGATGGCAGAAAGGAGATTTTGTATCACCCCGAAGTCAGGACCAGCACTTCTCTATTCAGCCTTGTCTCATGCTCCGCAGGGTGTCGCATAACAAAACTATCACCAACACATGCCTTTTAAAATTATCTTAGGTGGTTTTGTAATAAAAGTTACCATAAATATACTCCTGAAATTCTTAAATGTTAAAACCCTTCTTGAGCAGTACTAGACACAAAAGCATCTTTCCCACACGTTTTAGTCCACTTGATTCCTTACAGCCCCTGCCTCTGAGGCCATCTACATCCCTTAACACCTCCACAGCAACTTATTCAGCCGTATATTTTTTTCTGTTTACAATAATCTCGGTAAACAAAGCTTTTAAAATGTGTGCAACAGCTACTACCCCAGTCAGGTACTACCACGGACCAGACCTCATGTACTGAGGGTTCTGCAATGCTTCCCTCTCCCAGATGTGAGGACAGCTTGCTCTAGACTCAAAGAATGGCATCCTGGCCATTCAGGAGCTGTCTTTATAGGTCATCAGCAAGCCCTTCTCACACCCGGCTCCCAGCTCTATCATCTTATTCACAATCAACTAAACTCACCCACCCTATTTTATTCTAATACATGTCTAACAAAAAACATTATACTAGCATTTAATGAATATAGCATAAGATTCTTATAAGTCTCTTATGAATAACCAATATTATGAATTCTATGGTATTTTATTTGTTTTTCCATTTCTTTAGGAAACAGACTGTTTTATCCTGACCTTTATTCCCTCACAACAATTCCAAATTGTTGTTGCCTTCACAGATACAAGTGCCTGCCACAAGCCATTACTATCTCTGACATGGAAAGATAAGGTCAGTATCACAACAAGTATACACCAGTGGAAGCCAGAACAGAGAGACAACTTAATTATTTTAATATCTTTGCTTTCAGTATTATTACACTATTTTGGTGACACAGCTATTTCACAAAATAGAAAGGTCACATTTGTTTCCAAATCCATGCTTTTCATTGTCAGCCTCATCTTTGCTCTGAACAGTAGCTAGTGTCTCTCTACCTAATAGAATTCCCAAAAAATTTCAGCACAGCTTTGTAATTCTTAAAAGGCAATGAGGCTCAAAGAAGAAAGGTAGGTTAGTATGCAAGTGTCAAGCAGAAACAATTCTGAATTTCATTAGAGGTGACCATAAAACACATTCAAAAGCTCAGTAATGTTCCACAAACGAGATGCATTTAAATCATCGGTTTGGAAACTTAAAGCTGCCACTGGCTGCCATTCGGAGGCTTTGGAGGTCACAGGCTGAGAGGCAAAGATGCAGCAAGGGGAATACCTTATTCACATTTTTGCGATTATATACCCCCCAAAATCCCATCCAGATCAATTTCTATTTGTCTTAAAATAAGAGGCAAAGGTGTGTACAAACCTCACTTGCAAAAGAAAATGATCTAGGCTCATGCAATATTTAAACCTACCTCGTTACTCTTCAGGGAAAAGGAAGAAGCAGTTTAAGTAATGCTCCCACCTCTGCTTCCCTGCTTCATCTCCAATCAACCTGCTCCCTACGCAAATGAACAAGGAGTAAACAAAATCCCCAAAGTTTTGCTGAAAATGTTATTTTCCCTTGAAAAACTTCTATTATGGAGTGACTATTACTGATGTTCCTTTAGTTTTAAATATCTTTTTTCAATTCTCACAATCATGTTCTACTTTGGATCCTGCATTAGCAGTTTTGTATAGCATCACTTATACAGATAGACTTCATTGTCAGCTTTTAAGCATTTTTGAATTTAATACAGGCAACACAGCAAAAGCTAAATAAAGCACTGGAAGTAAACCAAACACCAAAATTGCTCACTGAAAAAAAATCCACATAAAACTCAAGAATGTTGCCCATTATATTTAACTGACTATGAAACATTTATGGAATCAATTAAAACTTTCAGAATAGCAGAAACACTTGTTGTTTTCTACTTTATCACCATATCTAGCAGTAGGACAATAAATATGGTGAGGGTTCAGCCACTGAGTTAAAGATATTCATGACAATTCCTTACATAGAGCATATAGTTCCTGTAACATCAGGAACCATGGTTACTGGAGGCATATCAGGGAAAAATTTTGCACTAAAACTTTTGCCCACCTCCTGCTTTTAGCCAAAAAAAAGCTAAATATTTGACTGTTCCTGGTTTTCAATTCCCAATTTTTACCCTGCAGTTCAGAAATCTCTCCAGTAATCTTCTAGAAAGCTGAAATGATGCTAGAAAAAAGTACAAGTAAGGGCTAGGAAAAAGTATAAAGTAGTCACACAGCTATGTTAGAAACGAATCATACTGTCTAGTCACATATAAACAGCAGCAACAACCACCACCCCAAAAATAAACAGTCAATTGCCAGAGCAATACAGGCCCTAAGGAAAGGGAAGGAGGAAGAGATGTCTTCACACACCTTTTGAGGTAAAAAGCCCCAAGAACACGAAAGCAACGCAAAGTTTGTCCTCAGAACACAGCTTTTAACATTAGTTTAGCTCTGTTTGAAACAGGGGTGTGTGCCCTGGTACTAAAAGTTTATTGCCTTTTAAGAACAACTACAATCAGAAGGGAAGGAGGCAAGAGTTCACTGCTGAACAACTGGCGAAAAACGGTCCAAAGGAAAATCGGGGCAGATAAGCCTTCAAGTCAGCAAGCTGCAGCCTAGTACTTCAGCCTGACACTGCAGAACTTCCATTTCTGCACTCCAGTGAGAGGAACAGCCCTAAAACCCACACATCTGACAGACACTCAAAAGCAACAGTAGCATGAGAAGCCAGTGCTATAAACATCAGAAGCTCAAGGAGAAAGCACTGCTAGCTGGTGGGAGGCATGCCTGGCCAGCTTCACAGGCAGAGGTCCAAAGCTCAGCACCTATGTCTTCACCTATTCCTTCCCAAGACTTTTAGTGTGAGTTACTCAAGCTGCATATGGTTTCAGCGTGCTCTGTCTCCTTATCTGGTAAAAGAAAAGGATACGGAAACATTATTTAGAAAACTTCTTGTCCTGGTCCCAGGCAGCAATG